ACATCGGAAGTATATGATTATAACCCATATTGTTATTACTTAACGCCAGACTGACGCTTCTATTACAGTCTATTAAAATATTTGTAATTCTATTTAATGTTGCGTAAGGATGTTAATAATTACCGCTTATTATGGTCATTTTAAGGGAATTAAAGTGATATGTTCTTTTTTTTTTATTGTACACAAAACACAGGATACAAAAAAAAATTATGAAAATCAAAATAATGTACAAAATCTAAGCTTAACTCAATATGTGATTTCTCTGCCAGCTAACCTGGTGAGAAAATAGGTGATTGAAGGTAGCTGGAAATGTGCTCAGTGCACCCAGATATTCCTATAATTTACCCTACATAAATATATATATTAATATATATATATATATATATATATATATATATATATATACATACATAATATACATACACATATATATACAAATATATACATAAATATATTTATAAGTAAATACATATATACGTAACATACATATAATATATAGTAAATAAAGATAGAAGATAATAACAAGAACTGTATAGACACGAATTAAAATACGTTATGCGGATAAATAGAATTCCTTTGCTCTATTCTTGAAGACATCCGATGAGGGGCTGGCACGGACATTGTACGGTAACAAATTCCAAAGACGCACCGCGTGCACTGTAAAAGAGCCGCCAAAACAGGAAGAGGAGTGCGAGGGTAATTTTAAAAGAAGGGATCTGATCTCACGACAGGGTTGACCACGCGGCACCATGTACTCAAAACGCTCACGGAGGTACTGAGGAGCCGCAGCATTATTGAGAATGGAGTAAAGTGTGGATACCACATGCAAATCACGACGGCGACGTATAGGTAACCATTTCAACTGGGATCGGAAGCTAGAGATGTGATCGTATTTACGCAGCCCGAAAATGAACCGTATACACATATTTTGTAACCGTTCCAATTTGTTTAGCAGCAACTCCGCAGCATCCAAGTAGCATACGTCCGCATTATCAAGATAAGGTAGAAGAAGTGACTGGGCTAGTGTAATTTTCGTTTTAAAGGGCAAGAACTTTTGGAGACGCCTGAGAGAATGAAGCGAGTAATGTATCTTCCTGCTCACTTCATTGATGTGATTGGTCCAGGAGCTTGCTATCAAATAAGATGCCAAGGTTTTTAGCACACGAAGAGTATTGAATACTAACACCATCGTAGTATACCGTTGGCAAGTTAATGGCATTAATGAGATTGAGCTTATACGTGCTGCCAAAAATAACCGCTTGCGACTTTGCTGGATTAACTAGAAGTCCAAATGATTTTGCCCAATTACAAATTTTAGTGAGATCATCGTTTACTCCCGATATGGCCTCATGCATCTCGCATACCTTAAAATGGCGGTAAAGCTGCAAGTCGTCGGCATAGAGATGAAAATGAGAAGAGATCACATGAGTAACAGCATTAATAAATATGGAGAATAAGAGAGGAGATAAAACGCCACCTTGAGGAACGCCCGCAGCAAGATCACACCAGCCTGATGAAGCATCATCGTAGCGGACACACTGCGAGCGGCCCCGCAGGTAAGAATCAAACCAGGTAAGTGCAGGTGGAGATACGTTAAGAGATTTGAGAATACCTAAGAGAACATCAAAGTCAACGGAGTTAAAAGCGCTGCTGAAATCGAGTAGGATCAGAACTGTCAGCTGTTTGCGGTCTATAGCTTGGCGAATATCATCAGACACCTTGAGGAGCGCCGTAACCATACTGTGACCAGGACGGAAACCAGACTGAAAGTGACTCAGCAGACCATTGCAGTTTAAAAAGGAGGATAGCTGTCGCTGTACAATGCTCTCTAGGACCTTGGACAAGATAGGTAAAATAGAAATGGGGCGATATTGTGAAAAGGATGAGGGATTGGAAGTTTTAGGTAGCGGGATGACTTGTGCTTTTTTCCATATCGAAGGGAAAGAGCTTGTTGTCAGTGAGAAATTGAGGATATGGGCGAGAACTGGAGCAAGCTCTTCCAAGATGAGTAGGATCATCTGATGATGAATTCCATCAGTGCCCACTGCCTTAGTAGAAATAGAGCGAAAGGATCTCTTAACGTCACATTCTGATACCGGTGCAATGGAGAAAGGTGACACTTGGGTAGCGATTTTAGGAGAAGATGATTAAGAGTAATAGACTGTAATGTTCTTTACTCTTGCATTTATAGCGTATCCTTGATTTTGGGTTCAGTAAAAATATTATCCGCAATTAATTTAAAGTTCAGTACCTAATATTTATTTCATAGATTGCAGTCTGTGTTTATTCAAGTTTTAAAGTTTCGTTTCTAAGCAATCGATAGCTATCATTAAAGTTATCCTACGTTTATTTGGTTCCGATATTTTGAATAATCACCGGGCTATCGTTTATGCCGTAAACGTTTATTGCGTTATTAAATGTATCATTATCATACATGCAACTTAATAATCAGCTTCATGGTTAAATGAAACTATTATTTGGATTTTTAATTCTCAACGTTTAGAACCCTTTCCAGCGTTCATGGTCACGGGACAGACAGTTTTATTTAATATGGATAATATTAGCGTAAAAACAATAAATCAATAAGCTTCAAGGTTCAAAGACTTACATTATTTGAATGTATGATTAGGAAATAACGAAAGAACGAAAATAAACTCATTGTTTTTTTTTTGGGAGTGTGAGTATGCATGCTATGCCTATATTATAATGATTAGTTTTAAGATAAGAAGCCATCTTAAGATTTAAACCTTGAAATAAATTTAAGCACGTTTTCTGTCGTTGTTTATTATTTTAACTGAATTTAAATCTGGTTTTTAATATTGTTAACAACTCAATAGAATTCATAGCGTCGCCGGGGTTTTGGCTCACAATGTACGTTTTGAAAGGCAATGGTTTACCGTTGTAGATATTTCTAGGGTCACAATAGCATTGAGATGATCATATGTATGTCATACTATTATAAACAATGAATCGATGCAACAACTGCCAATTTTGATGGTGGAGAGTTGATAAAAAGAAGCTTAGGCTGAGACTTGAAAACTTAATTAAAAAAATGTTTTTTTATCTCTGAGAAAAAATAATGAAGAAACTAATAGTTTATTCATGTTTACAAATTTAACAGATCCATAATAAAGTAGCGATGCACTTTACTCTTTTTTGAGCTAATTACGCGCCAAACCGTGCTTTTTCATCTTAAAAGCATATATCGTATGTTTTATTTAAGCAATATGTATGTTTTATTTCAACATCTAAATTAAAAGTTGCAGTCTGTCTGAACTTGGGAGGTTAGCGATATGCAAGATAAGCTTCCGTCGAGCTTGGTCACGTAGGCCCATGCGCTGATAGTGTATAAAGATCTTTGAAAGTCCGCCGGCATCGAATTTCAATCTCTATCAAGCTCGTCGGCGCCATTAATCAAATAGTATGGGCGCTGCTGAAAGTGGGTCACTTGTTAAACCATTTAGTACGTTGGTACGTACATTTTTCTTTGCGTACTCAAGTGCAGTGATCAACTGTCGTATGAATGTATTGATAGACTCGCGACCCGTTATCAAAATACTTGTTTATTCGCGATTCGGTACGAGATATTTGGTCGACACAATCATTTATTATTAATGGAGCATGTCTCCAACGCGTTAGATAGCGTCACAACTCGCCGTTGGCTTCCGACCGAGCAAATTTTATTTGTCCATTGACCTGACAACACAACAGTTACCCGCCGATCAGCTTAGCGCGTATGGGCGCCGGAGGAAGCTCGCGTTGTAATTTGCACACCACAAATTAACTTGTGCTGTCAACACCATAAAGTTAGTAAAGAAATTGTTTCATCTGTCTCGTCTCATCTCATCTCAACTATCTAAGTTATGAAGTAATCAATTGAACTTTTTGTGAGTATGTTATATTGTTGGTAGTATTTTTAATAGATTTTTCGTTTCAATATTAGTATTATTGTGAACTTATTTTGTGATTTTAATAGTTATTTTTGAGTTAAGGTACCTAAGTTATGTGAAGCTACTTTTTCGTTTATCGCTCAGAATTTTCTAGAGTAAATTTCGTCGTTAAATGTTTGTTTTTTGATAAGGATTATTATATAAAGTTACTTATTGTAATTATTTATAATTTCTTATCAGCTGTACAAACAGTTTTTTAGTTTTTGTAGGTAAAAGATTTTCTGCTTCATTTTGTTAATGAAATGGCTGACGATGATATCTCATAGATATGCAGTTTGTGACGATAGTTTTTTAAAGCTTTTTAGATTTTGTATTAAATTCTTTGTGGTGTATAATAAAGTGTATATAATAATAATAATTGAATGTGGGTAAATAATAACCTTAAATGCTTAACCTTAATGCTATAAAAATTTAAGCGGTTCGTGCATTATAAAAATATATTTTTATCCACTTATATCACTTTCCGATAATGAAAATACGATCTCTGGTAATTATAAACGTTTTATTATGTGAATATATTATGGAAAGTATTACAAACAATTAATGTAAATTATTGCTATGAACGTTTTAATATAAAGGACCTAATGGTTTCTATAATATTAACATGTACTTTTAAAATGATGTATGGAAAAAACTGGGCTATTATTCTTTAAAAAGTATTTTTTATAAACATACCAACTATGTGAATAATGTTTAACATTACTTTTGTCTACTAAAATGTGAATTTAATTAATTTAATGCTTCTAAAATCGAACTAAAAGTAGTATTGAATTTATGTTTTCATGAGTGATGTTAGAATGAGTAGGAAAATAACAGAGGTCAACGTTCTCTAATTCTGAATTGAAGTATTCTTTTAATGGGAACTGCAACCGAGATAACGTCAAAAAAAACGATATCCATAAATAACTGTCTGTATTTTAATGTTTCTGAACTAATGTATGCATATTCATCGATTAAACGTGTTTTTATATGTGATTGATATGAAACACACGTGTTAATGATAATATACTGACACTTTTATATAACATCATTCCTTTTGTTTCAGCGAAAATGACTCTCAGAACACGTCATGCGTTGTATGTTATATACATTATAATATGCCAGGACTTGCTGTCATGGACGCAGGGGGAATTATTTACGGCCATATCAGAAGTGGAACCCCTTTTAGAGACCCACAAGAGGATTATTGACGACTTGGATGATTATATCGCAAAAGAGGAGAAAAGGCTGGCCGTTTTAAAAAAGTAAGTGCGTAGAAACATTTACCCACTTACAATATGTTTTTCTTTCACTCTAACTGCGTTTTTTGGTTTCGGTCCCTGAACTATTAAATCTTCATCGATCGCAGAACTCGTGGGCTAGACAGAACCCACGAGTTTGTCACACCCTCTGCGTTGGGTTGGGCCGCGATATTGAGACATGTTTAGGGTACTTTAATTTGATTAGTCATCAATGATTTTTTAACGTTTCCTTTAAACAAATTATATATACTGTGCACATTGGATACGTTTTGTCATATCGCTTCAAATGCCAATTGGTTGAGACATGGGACCGCTTCCGCTGTTTCGCGAATGGGCAGACTCGTGGACGGTCCACGCCCCCTTAGAGGAGCGACGCAAAGTTCTAGTTTTTTATTACCAAAGTCTGAAACAGTTCCTTACCGTTAAACATCCTGATAACCCGAATCCCAAATATAAGATGTAGGCAACTTAACTAATATGTGTTGTACTAATCCATCATCATCATCAACCAGAAGACGTCCACTGTTTAACGAAGGCCTCCCCTTAGAATGCCAAAACGAATGACACTACAGTTTGCGTCTACCGGTAGCACGCAACTTACGATGTCGGTCGACCTAGTGACAGGCTTTCCTACTAATCCATAAGTTTCTTCATCAACATACTCCTGCCATTAACCCACATAGATGGATAGGAAATATTACCTATGGGCCACAAAAATTCTTGTCCCATATAGATGATGTCCCGTGATATCGAACTCACGACCCCCGGCGCCTTCACCAGTACACTAGCAACTGCGCCACCGAAAATAAAAAACATATATTTGTTTTACTTTTAGGCATTTGAATCTCTACAAAAAGGAACATCTTATGGCGATGGAGGACATACCCAACTACTTGGGTAATCCCATCAACGCTTTCACGCTGATCAAGAGACTTACAACGGATTTGGATTTCATAGAAAAGAGCATCAAAATCGGCACAGGTGATTTTCTAATCCTTTAAGCTGTGGACGCCCTCTGCCCCAGCTAGGGGACATAGGAATTAGTTGTAGCGCTAATAGTTGTTAAGCTTTTGTCGCCGTGCAGAGCCACTGTTCAAACTTCTCACTAACTCATTTCTTCCTAATTCACTGAGCTAAATGAGCTATGGCGCCAAGCATTGCTTCAAATGCTAAGAAAACAATGTAGAAGAATGCGTTAAGGTTTTCGTCGGTGTGGCAATCAGCCGTTTAGCTCAGTGGCTAGAGCGTCAGGCCGCGAATGCCGAAGACGTGGGTTCGATTCCCACAGCGGCGACAATCTTTTCGCACTTTTTCTACATATTTTAATATTCAATCTTAAGTGCAAAGATTAGCACTATAAACAATTTAAATTTCTATGTTCAAATTGTCGTGACTTACTTTTTATGAGGCTTACGATACCACAAAATAGAATATCTAAATTAGGCATCAAAGAATTTTTAAACGGTTTTAATAAATACGTAGCTTTGGAAACTATTTATTAATGTCGATGGCATTTTTATTACTTAATCACGAAAAAGGTTGTATACCGAAAACCTGCTCCTTTAAATGCCGTGAAAGGATAAATAACATTTCGAGGGTAACGTCTGTATTCTTTGTTCGATGCAAGTAACGTTATGAAACAATATTTTTATTTTATCTCAGCTTGCTTAGTTTTAGGATTTAGAAAGTCTGTGCATTTTTTGTCTCAAGGTTATATTTTAATACATTGTATTGTTAAAACCAACCTATAACATAAAATATTATGACTCACATTTATATCGCATTAGCACAATTTATTTGTTTAACCGTACGAATTATTAGCTTTCATACAGCGCTAAATGAAAAATATTCAGTAGATGATAATTATGTTCGTCTACTGAATATTTTTATAAAATGACTAGCTGACCCGGCAAACGTAGTTTTGCCATATAAATTATTTGTAGGGTAGAAAAAAAATTGGGGTGGACCACCCTTAACATTTAGGGGGATAAAAAATAAATATTGTCCGATTCCCCACCCTGGCCGATATGCACACAAAATTTCACGAAAATCGGTCGAGCCGTCTCGGAGGAGTTCAATTACAAACACCGTGACAGGAGAATTTTATATATTAGAAAAAACTGTGCGGATCGGTATAATTTCAAAATAGTTTAAGTGTTGATTATTTTTCGATTTAAGATCTTCGCTATAGTGTAATAAAAGCGTTATTGGCGTGACAAGTCATATTTGCAATGGACGTTTGCGCCCATTCTCCTACCGGCTACTTCATAAGCGTTTGTATGTTACATAGTAATATGCATGTTACACTAGTAATTTGCAGCAATTAGCAGACAAATGTGAAAAAGTTGTAATGTGTTTGATCTGTCGTTGCGTGGAGCGCCAACATAATATTGACACACGCTTAACACACAAATATTACATTTAACTTCGCGTTTGATCTACGGCCGGTTTCAATATTATATCTACAGATAGATTTGGTTAGTAGAGATAAAATTTTGCTTTGAGTGTTAGGAGCTAATCTCAAACACTTATCGCTAGTAACTGAATCGATCTGTAGATAGAATATTGAAACCGGCCGCTAGTAATTTCACTGGCACAAGTATACGTTGGAGACTGTCGTGTAGATTTCTATACATGTGTGTCTGTTTGGTTAAGTACGGTGAAGTGGAAGATTTACACTTCTGTCTTTCATCTGGTGAGTGAGGTGGCCGGGGCCCACTTTAGTAAAAGGTAGGAATGCATCTGCAACCCTACGGGAGTTGCAATGTCATTGGGCGGCAGTTATCACTTAGCATCGGATGAACCGTCAGATCACTTGCCACTTTCTTACATAAAAAGCACGACCGATGGAATCGGAACCCATATATCGCCTGTTCGATGTTTCGAAGATATCTGAAGTCGAATCCACCCCGGGCCGAGCGGCTGACTCTGCCCTAATACTACATAATAGAGGAATAACTTGCTATGCATTTGGTATAGCATGCTTAGGCTGACATTTTTTTTTTACGAAATATAAGCATGAGTATTATGATGATGTGTTCATTCTGTTTACAGAGACCACTATCTCTCTGCTTTTAATATCTAGCAACATATAAAGATACTAGTCGACTCGTGATAATTTTGCACACAATAACCTGACCGGGCAAATAATTATTTATTAATGTAAGGCACCTTATTATGAAGAATGACGGTAAAATTCATTCTACTTCGCTATCTTTAATATAAACTAGTAGTCAACACATAGCATTATCACTTTTTTCTATCTTTTTAAGTAAACGAGCCGTTGCCTTACCTACGGAAAGTGAGTTACTAGCGTTCCTTTAATCTACAAGTCGTTATCAAAGTTACGATGCTATGTAACTAACGAGCGTTCGTTAAATATAGGAACCGGGCATAAATCAGATCAAATAAGAGGATAGAGTTCCGTTTCAGGGTTGATAAACTCATTTGTGATACTTCTCATGTTGAACAGTAACACATTGAGCACTGTTGTCATTCAGTAGACATGTATGCATCAATCGTCAATGCCCTTCTTAAATTTGAATTGCGAAAAGCTAACGGCTTAAGCGGTATGACCATAAGTAATTTTTTCCTGCATTTTTGCAGCATGCGCATTTGGCATTCACAAAAGCTTACAAAGCGCAATGCCCTTTTAAACCGACTTCCAGGAATGAGGAAGGGGTCAATTCGCTTGTATTTTTTAAGTACCATTATCTATAAAAGCGGCAAATCATGTCCCTTGTACGACTGCCCCCACTTAAATATTTTTTAATCTGTGTTTTAGTATTTGTTTTTGTATGGCAAACAACTTTGAACAAATCAACTGTCTAACTATCACGGTTCATGAGATACAGCCTGGTGACAGACGGACAGACAGACACAGAGACAGGCAACGTAGTCTTAGTAATAGGGTCCCGTTTTAGCCTTGGGGTATGGAACCCTAAAAAAGACATTTATGTTTATCTTGTTGTGATGTTGGATTCCATGACAATAATATCTGCGAGAGAGTTTTGTTTGTTACGAATGAGTTTTGTTGTCGTTTCCGTTGCTGATAAACGTTGGATTTTTTACCCGTTCGGACATATTTATGCATAAAAAAATAGTACCCGGAGGACCGAGCTTTGCTCATTTTTTTTTTGGTAAATCGTGTATTTTGGAAATTACATTTAGATACAAATTACTGAGTAATGAAATATGCATAATATTTTTCGATCTTACCGACGTAATAATAAGAAAATATGAATTGATGTTTTGCACAAAAGAAAGAACTTTAAAAAAAAAGGGAAAAAAATACCAAAAAAACAAATCGACAAAAAATTAAAAATAAAGAAAGCAATGATCTGGAATGAGAAAAAAAAGTAAAAAAATGTATGTGTAAATGATCGTGACGCGAACCACGGCCGTCTGTTTTGGGGCCGCCCGGTTACCGACCGAGCCATTATGACATTTTCTCTTATTATATATTATTTTATATTATTTTTCATTCCCTGAAAACAGGGATAAAAGGACAGTTTCTAAAAATGAAACCTAGCTAGATCGATTTTTCGCCCCCGAATCTACGCACATCTAAATTTCATGAAAATCGCTGGAGCCGTTTCCGAGATTCCGATTATATATATATATATATATATAATCGGAATCAATTACTCAGTAATTTGTATCTAAATATAATTTCCAAAATACACGATTTACCAAAAAAAAAAACCGAGCAAAGCTCGGTCCTCCGGGTACTAGTTATTTATGTGATTAGAGACATTGACGTAGTGTCCTAAAATCTACAAAAATATCTCTGTATAGTTGTACGGATTTTCTTTTAACACAAGATACATACACACGAAGGCGCGAATTAAAAAAAATATTAATTTTAATTCCAAATTTAATATTAACCTCAAAGATATCGTTTCAATTTGTTTGAATAAAAAACAAAATATATTGTAATTAATCGGAATTAATATCGCGTCTTTTACCTTAACGGGGGTAGGCAGGGCTGCTATCTGTTTGTCATCGTGTGCTCGTAAGAACGGAATATCCGTAAGACGGAAAGATGAGAATGCTAATGTTTCGAAATTCGAACCAGAGACAGAGATTGCAGCAGTTCCTGAGTCTATCACGCAACTAGGCATTCCGTACAACGTTAGCGCATTTTCAGACTACGTGAAGAACATAACCGTGAACCACGCGGACGTGAAGTATCCGACCCTGGAGGACCTCACTGGCGCTGCGCAGGCGCTGACCCGGCTCCAAGACACCTACCACCTCGACATAGGGGAGCTCTCCGAAGGGAGGCTCAACGGGGTAGTTTACAGGTAACTTACTTATTTGAATAACTTGCCAACTAAATACATACACATCGTTTACATACGACATAATAAAGTAATAACTGTATGTTTATGTGTATTTAAATTAAAGGTGAACACAACATTTATTTTAAAATTACTTCTTAGTCACAGAAACCTACTTACTGCCCTAAATTTCTAATTAACTCTGGTTGCATGGTAACTATATATCTTTGGTCATAACGTTCTTCCTGCTTTTTAAAGTATTCTGCCTTGAGTCCTAATATAGAGTCTGCATATAATGTTTTCTGTTGTTAACCCACGTGAAGGCACTTCTTATCATTTTTGATGACTAATCATACCAAAATAACGTAATTACACCGAGAGTAACGGATTGAATGAATTTGGCAGAGTTGTTAATGCTATAATACTCTATAATCTAGAATATAGAGTCTATATGAACTTACGGAGTGGTGTTCGTGGACCTTTTTAAATCATTGCACGATTCTACTATACTAGTTCCTTTGCGTAGTGCCATCCTCATTAAGACACCCTTTGATTAAGCGAAACTTAAAAGGCAATTAAGCGCAAATGAAGTATCTGAGCCACAGTCGTTAGTTACGCATTTGCTTCGACCACTATCCCTTACGGTCAGTTGTGCTGCGGTCGTAATTAGCAAACGCCAGTATTAGTAAGAGGCACGGAGGACTGTTAAGTTGGGCAACAGATAAGCTTTTGCCTCATATAATCTCTATATTGGTTCTCAGAGGTATTTTTTATCGGTGACGTCCGTAACTTTCATAATTCTTCATTAAATGAATTTATTCAGACACCATTTTAAAGGTTACGTTTGCCACTATTGTCGAAAAAATGCGAGTAGAATAAAGTCATTGCTGGCACAGGTCAACTGTAATGTTATAATTCCAAATTAAGTTATATAAATAATAGTTATATAAGTATGAGAGCCCTCATAGCTCAGTGTTCGTGTGCTCGCTTTATATTCAATCTACTCGAGCAACTTGAGTTCAATTCCCGGTGCTGGCCAATGAAATTATTAATTACAATTGTAAGTGCTGACGTATCAAGTGCTCATCGGTGAAGGAAAACATAGTGAGGAAATCTGCATGTTCTAAAAGACATTACAAAATAAATTTGAAGATAGATGAAGTCTGCCAATCCGCAGTCGAGTCGCGTAGTGGACTATGCTCTAATACCCTCTGTGCAGAAGAGGCCTTTGACCAGCAGTGGGACTTATACAGGCTGTTACTTTACTTTTTACTTTAATATAATGTAATCATCATCGTCATCATCATTTCGGCCTGTTTGAGTCCACTGCTGAACATATGCCTCCCCCATAGACTTCCATGAAGTACAATCCTGAGCCACCTGCATCCATCGACTTCCCGTACATTCGTCACTCCATCTAGTGGGGGTCGTCTTGTATCTATATATGTATATATAATATAATGTTATAATTCCAGCACTCCCATGACAGCCGGCGACTGTTACGAGCTCGGGCGCACTCTTTACAATGAGAAGGATTTCGGCAACTCGGTGCGATGGATGACAGAGGCCTTACGGAAGTTGGAGAACGAAAGCGACACATACAACTTCACGGAGGTCGACATTCTCGAGTATATTAGCTTCTCGCACTATCTGCTGGGTCAGTGTTTTACATTCTCTGTATATATTCTCTATAGCTGTTACTATAAGGGTTCTAACGTTTTTACCTTGATCCTAATATTTTAACTATTACTGAACGTGAATATCAACAACTATTATAACGACAAGCAGCACTAGTAGTTATATCACCGTCCGGGAACGCGGCCGAAATCCAAGTGACCACTGCTTCATGCGATCATGTGTCCCTTCGCTCGAATAGTGAACGTCATATCCGGTATACAGTGTTGCCAGCGCCAACATTACTTTATAAGGAAATAAATTATAAGATTGTTTATACACGCTCAAGCGTGAGACATGTTAGGCTATTACGTTACCAGGAAGTAAATTATTGGGGCATTACGCACCACTATGCCCTAATACCCTCTATACAGAGGAGGCCTTCGACCAGCAGTGGGACCATACATAGGCTGTATACTTCACTTCACTTTTTACATATCAAACATGATAGGAACCCAATAACAGTTCTATTTGACAATATGTAGTATTCGCATTTAGACAAGAAATCAAGAGAAAATTAGATTCATTTGTTTTAGACTCATTAAAAGTGTCACTAATCGTCTTTCTGTGTCCAGGAGACGTCGAGAAAGCTCTAGAATGGACGAAGAAGCTGCTGGCGTTGGACCCGGAGCATCCGCGCGCTCGCGGCAACGTGCCACACTTCCAGAGGACTATTCAAGAGAAAGAGGCGAGGCTAAGAAGGAAACGGAGGGGGGTGAGTTGGGAAAACCCTTTGTCTTCCTTTGTACAGTAGAATTCCGACTAACCGAACGTCTGCTTCCGGATATCCGATTGTGCGGAACTCATCCTTCTCGGCACCAATTATCGACTTAGAAATAATTTGACGGTTCAACCAGACACGTTAAGAGTTTTTTTTTTTCTCTTACAAAATAATAGCAAAGTTATTGAAATTTAATTATTGTTTTATTTGACTTTGAAATCGATTATCCGGATTTTCGATTATACCCCTGGTTTTTTTGATTCGGACGATCGGGATTCTACTGTACTAATAAACAGATAATTTGAGTTTCGAGACTGTTATGACGTTGCATTACTTTATTATAAAAAAATCATAGAAAATGTCGAAGTTTATTTTTTCAATTTTAACTGTTTCTATATTATAAGCAAATCGCAGAGTGAGAGAGGAGAAAGGAGGTGAGAGAATATTTTTTTTAAATAATGCAAGACAATAAAAAAAATGTCGACTTTGTCTGATTTTCTTTACAATATATGAAACCTGTGTCAAATTTTCTTTACTTCCAGGGTGGACTGGAAGAGAATGCTTATTAGCAGTTAAGTTTGCCTTTTGTTTAGGCTTAATTTGAGGTGCAAACAATAAATTTTTAAATAAATAATCGACATTTCTTTTTACAATATTAGCTATTTCTTTATATTCTCCGGTTTAGACAGGTGAGAGAAGAGGAACGCTAATAAAAAGCATCTGCGTTTATTCTTAGTAGCGTTTCAGATGACGATGACAATTTCTGCCCTACTACCTAATTGTCCACATAATAACTTTTGAGTAGCCATTATCAAATTAAAATCCATTTTAAATTTTAGATTCGAATTAAATTTTATTTAAAGTTGCAATATATGATTGATGGAAAGCATTCATTTAATTTGATAAAATTACCTGTTAAGTCTGTGTCAAGTTTTACTCAAGTTCTATTGTTTATTCTTACTGTGTGTATTTTTCCGACATAAATAATTTGTATATTTTTTATTTTATATTAGAGATTATAAACTATGTTACATAATTATTGCCATATAGATTATGATAAACATAAAAATATGAAGCAGGAATATGTAGCCGTGATAGCTCGATGTTCTATAATTTAATATACTATATAATATACCGGTTGATGAAGGAAAACATCGTGAACCTGTATATTTTCGAAATGAAAGGAAAACATTATTTTTGTTGTTGAACGTATAAAAAATGGCATATTTTTATCTCATCATATGAACTCTTGATATCGATCTTAAGTTTAATTGTGAATATCTAATTGGATAGAGCCAAATACAAAGTGGCCTTTATTATCCCTTTCTAAGTCACTACATGTTAATTTATATGATATAGAACTGGACATGCAATGTCCGAAGCACATAAAATTGAACGGACTAACATCTTTTATCTAATTTTTTTATAGAATTGACTCAAGGTTTTTTTTTTTCTCAACAGGATCTTGGTGACGAAGATGAAGATGAAAACCCTCCACCGCTGTCGTACTTGGCCAAAGAGAGGAAAGTCTACGAATCTCTGTGTCGCGGCGAAATGGAGATACCCAGTGAAATGAAGAAGAAGTAAGTTTAAAAACGTCTTGATTAAACTGTCGCAATTTTTTTCGCTGGAAGGCTTCGAAACGGCGCTTTCCGGATTAGGTGTCCAGACGCTCTAAGTCTAACAACTAAGCTAAGCGGTCGACACCCACGATATCTAATGAGATCGCTTTTCAGCTGTCACATTTTTTCAGAACACGTTTTAACAATAAATTTTTGAACGAAGATGTGGTGCCTTTGCTGTTGAAATTTAATTCGTTTTTAAGTGCAAAGAATAGCATTAGTCATTTTAGTCAATTACTTATTATTTCTGTTCGTATTACACACTGCTAGATAAACACGCACGATGCTTTACGGTGTTCATTTAACTACAATGATATTAGTCAGAGCCTTTGAGAAGAACTAGAGAAGAACTTCAGAACTTTGAGTAAGGTGATGTAATGTTTAATGGTTTGAAAAGCCGGCCAAGTGCGACTCGGACGAGTGGTCGAAGGTTTCCACACCGTTATCTATAAAAATGGTAAAAATCTGTTACATGGGAGCCCTATTTAAATATTTTTTATTCTGTTTTTTTAGTATTTGTTGTTATTGAGGCAATAGAAATACATCATTTGTGAGAATTTCAACTGTCTAACTATCACGGTTCATGAGATAAAGCTTTTTTTTAGACGAACAGATAGACAGCATTGACATTGACAGTCTTAGTAGGGTCCCGTTTTACCCTTTGGTTACGGAACCCTAAAAAAGCCCCTTGCTGCCTTGTAGGTTTACATTATCCTGCGTCGTAATGAATTTCTACATTATGAACTTCTACACAAATTTTACACCAAAAATTTTATCTTTAAGTAACACGAATACTTGTACCGTACACCAATTGAAACTACAACCGGTGGTGCCTCAGACAATAGCTACGTTAAATCTTGAAGACTTAATCTTCGTTTTATAATAATACCGTTCGTGCAACAAAGAAGGTTTTTGGCCCTACCACAGTTATTGTCATGTAAAGCAAATAAATTAACGACCGTTTCCAATATTCTATCTGTAGATTTGGTTACTAACCATAGGTATTTGACATTAGCTCCATTATACGTCAAAATTCTACCCATCGTCAATCCAGTAACCAAATCTATAGATATATAGAATATTGAAACCGGCTATAAAAGAAACTGACGCTATCGCAGGCTGAAGTGCAGCTATCTGACGGAGAACCACCCGTTCCTGAAACTGGCGCCGATAAAAATGGAGCAGATGTACATTGAGCCAGACGTCGTCGTGTTCCACGAGGTGATGAGCGACGAGGAGATAGAACACCTCAAGGATATGGCCAGGCCGAGGGTGAGTATGGAACACGTTTGACTGTTACTGCATTCATTTTAACACTGAAGTTATATTAAGTGGTATATTTTATATAGCCGGTTTCAGTACTCTCTATCTGTAGATAGATTTAGTAGTCAAAAAACAAAACACTCGCGCAGTTCAAGCGGGCCATATTCCACGGCCCAAAGACTGAGTAACACTCATGGCGGTATGAGTGTTACTCAGTCTTTAAGGGTCTACTAAAAAAATAAAAATGTCCCTTAAAGTTAGGGATCGATGGTGAAAACGGCCACAAGTAATACTCATGGCGGCACTGCCGCATAAGCAGTACTCGTAGCTGCTTAAAAAAAAAACTCGCGCAGTTCAAGTGGGCCGTAGTCCACGGCCTGAAGACTAATGCCCAGTTCCTATATTCAACGAACGGCCGTTAGTTACATAGCTTCGTAACTTTCATAACGACTTGTGGATTAAAGTTACGCTAATAACCCACTTTCCGTAGGTAATGCAACTGGTCGTAAGGAAAACGCCTCGTTTTGTCAGTATAGAAACCGCGCGTATAAACCTTTTATCTACAAGTCGTTATGAAAGCTACGAAGCTATGTAACCAACGGCCGTTCGTTGGATATAGGAACCGGGCATAAGTAACACACGGCGGCGCACTACCGCATCACAACACCCAATGCTAGTCACTAATTTGAAAACAAAACACTCTTGCAGTTCAAGCGCGCCGTAATCCACGGCCCGAAGACTGAGTAACACTCACGGCGGCGCACTACCGCATCACAACACCCAATTCTACTCTCTCCTTTAAAAAAAAAACGAAACACTTGCAGTTCAAGCGCGCGGTAGTCCACGACCCGAAGACCGGCAAGCTGGTGGCGGCGCACTACCGCATCAGCAAGTCGGCGTGGCTCCGCGACGAGGAGTCGCCGGTGGTGGCGCGCGTCACCCGCCGCGTGGCCCACTTCACCGGCCTGAGCATGCGCTCCGCCGAGGAGCTGCAGGTGGTCAACTACGGCATCGGCGGCCACTACGAGCCGCACTTCGACTTCGCAAGGGTACGTGCATTACGTTTACGTTGACCACCATTGCACGGCGGTAGGGCCACGCACGCAGCAGCCTCGGCTGTTGCGCGAATGGGCAGGCCCGTCCGGGTAAGTACCACGACCCCACACAGAAGACCAGCGTAAAGTGGAAGTATGACAACTACTTTCGCGTTTCGTCTGGTGAGTGAGGTAGCCGGAGCCCAATTTTCAAAAGGTTGTCAACGCATCTGTAACCCCCGGGTGTAGCAGATGTCCATGGGCGGCGGTATTCACTTACCATCAGGTGAACCTTCTGCTCGTTTGGCAACTTTTCACATAAAAAAAAAGACCACCCGTACGGCGTAGAGGGTGTGGGTTCGATCCCCACTACTCGAAAAATATTGTGTGATACATACTAGTTTTCCAGTATTTGGGTGTTTATATTTATATAGAGTGATTTTTTAGACGAAGTACATATTTTAACACAATGTTAATTGAGCATTCCATAATTTAAAAAAATATCCTTACTATGTTTTTTTTCTATGGTTGGATTGATAGTTGGAGTTAAGTTTGGATGGATGTTTGTTACTCTTTCACGCAAATACTACTGAATGGATTTTAGTGAAACTTTATAATAATGTTGCTTAAACATCAGATTAAAATATAGGCTATAATTTATATACATATTTTTAAATGTATCTGCCTTTCTGTCTGAATGGTACGCCTTCAGCTTATTCTACGCAGACGTAGTCGCGGGCAACAGCTAGTTCCAGATATTGTTGGCGATTAATAATCACCATAATAGTTAAACGGAATTAACTCTACGTACCTATATACATACACCATATATATATTTTTAAATGTATGATTAAAATATTTCAGTAAAATCCTGTTCTCATATGCACCTCAAAACAATGTATTTTACATATGTTTCATGATTAAATGCCAATTTATCATTTCATCCCTGGAACTGGAACCCTCGGCAGTGTGGCAGATGCCTATGGGCGGCGGTATTCACTTAACATCAGGTGAACCGTCTGCCCGCTGGGCAACTTTTCACATAAAAAAAATAGAATAATATTATGTTTATATATTATACAAATACATATATGAATACAACAAATATGGGAAATTAATGAAATCGACAACTTTTTAGTGCACGTCGCTGGGATTCGATCCCTCAGTGAGCTTAACACTTCAGATGTGAGATTTTTATGCCACTATACCATATATTTTGTTTTTTCAGAAAGAAGAAAACGCTTTTCAAAAAGCGAATGGAAACAGAATCGCCACTGTTCTGTTCTACGTAAGTACTCTTCATTTTGGTGTTATTGAATGATCTGCTTGAACCAAAATAGATGGTGATATTCTACGCAGTGGCAGAGTTCAGTTATAACTCAATTTTTGTATATAACTGGATACTGTGGATGGTAATGGATCCATGGCATGAAGCCGAGCTAATAAATACTAGTTTCTTCTATTTCGAGACGGAAAGACAGTGTTTTAATATTTTTGTTAATATATATATTTCACCTTTCCAAAGTAATTTTTAGTAAGTTAAGTAAGGTTACTTTATAATCAGTTTCTTGTACAGCAGGTATGTATTTACTATTCGCGAATGACGTGTACGCCTATTATTGATGTGTTCATTTGTTATCAAAAATCAAAATCAAATTTAATTATGTGTACTTCTAACCTTTTATTGTACCTTGAACATGTTTTTAATGTATCTTTATAAATAAAAATAAAAAAAATTACATGATTATACCTTCGCTACTTGTGCAGATGTCGGAGGTGGCGCAGGGCGGCGCGACGGTGTTCACGGAGCTGGGTCTGAGCGTGTTCCCGGTGAAGAACTCTGCCCTGTTCTGGTTGAACCTGCACCCTTCGGGCGAAGGGGACATCTCAACCCGCCACGCCGCCTGCCCCGTTCTGCGAGGCTCCAAATGGGGTTAGTCCGAACCGACTTAATTCTCTTATGCCCGGTTCCTATTTCAACGAACGGCCGTTAGTTACATAGCCTCGTAACTTTCATAACGACTTGTAGATAGGCGTGTACGCGCGGTTCCTATACTAAAAAACGAGTCGTTTTCCTTACGGCCCGTTGCATTCATTACCTACGGAAAGTGAGTTATTAGCGTTCCTTTAATCCACAAGTCGTTATGATAGTTCTAGTATGTATTATATAATAGTATCATAGTCTGGACCAAAAAGTAAAGTAAAGCTGCTGATCGAACCAGTTTCTCGATAGCACTAAAGAAAGTTAAAATCGTATGTAACTTTTCCAGATATCTGCTTGAATTTAACGCATTGGCCGTAAAATTAGGTTTCAAATCACTCGGTGCTGTTCTCTTTCTGTTTCATCTCGCAATGCATGTAATAAGTCCAAATAACTTAAAAATACCTACCTGAAAAAAGTAAAGAAACAGCCTTTGATGGCCTCGGTCAGAGAGTGTTAGGGCATGACTATGGTGGACTCACCACGCGACCCCTCTGTGGATTGGCGGATTTTACATATCTTAGATATATTTTTTTTGTTATTATTTCGAAAAATGAGGGGCGTACCCTCACGATATTTTCCTGCGCTGTTGAGCACGTGATTAGTCAGCACGTAAAATTAACCCGGACACTGAGTTATTAGTCTGAACTAAAAATGTTCTTTCATATACTAAATGATACGCTATAGGAAGAAAGATACACCTTAATCCTTATATTATCACAAATGATGTTTATATGCTAATAACACTTAAATTTATTCACCATGAATGAAGTAAAATCAGTGAGCGTCTTTAAGTTTTTCTTACGAGATAAATTTATTACAGTGTCAAATAAATGGATACACCAGGGAGGTCAGGAACTGCTTAAGCCATGCAACCTAGAATATCAAAGGGAGGATGTTATGCGAAAATTTCCGAGACCAGTGCCCCTAACGTCAAGGTAGAGGGGCCCATGCTCTCTTAATTAAATTGTATTTCGATACTATTTAAAACTATTTTGAATTTTTGCGTACGTAGGTGTACGCTTATTTTATTATTTGCACTGTTCAAACATAGTTCTTATTGTTTCTTCTAGTCCAGTTGGAAGGACCAGAATCTAAATATAAATAATCATAACATTGTTAGTTGTGTTTAATAAAAGTGAACTATATGATATGAAACTATTGCTATTTGATTTTATTTTAAACAACAGAATTGTTATGTATTAGTACAAATTATTTTTCGGCTTGGTTCATCCTTTCATAAGCATAACTTATAAATCATTCGAAAGAGGATGCAATAAAAATCGATTTATTGAGGCTAATAAAACTAGAAAAATGTCTACGCTGCTAGCAAATAGATATTATAATGCGTCGAAACAAAGTATTCTCATTAAGAAAAAATGATATGCAATAAAATGACGAAAAATGTCGCAATAACAAAGCCATAATAGCATTTACTTGTTTTATTTTATAGATTTATTTCTGCTGATGTTTGACGTATTATTATTTTTTATTTAAGAACAAAAGAAAAACGATATCTTAATGCTTTTTTAGCGAGTAACCTAAATAAATGACAAATTGACGTAAATTTTGTGATATGTACGCATTTTCTACACTAATCGAATTATTATAAGTTATTCGTCTTTAAACGCGCTGGATTATCAAAGAGTTGTTTAAATTTATTATTTTAAAATGATTATTTTTCTATTTTTCGACTTGTATTCATTTGTAAAACATGTTGTGTGCAATTTATAATAAAACATATCTGTAAACATTTGTGTTTCATTTACTCCCTAACTCTTCTGGTCTTCGTCTGAACTATTGAAAAACAATTTTAAGCGTGAAATTTTAATGTTTGTTGCAATAACACGCATTCGCTTCATTCGATGAATGCATTCTAATGGAAATTTTATATACAAAGAAAATGAAATTTGCAAATTTATAATAGACTTGATGTTAAACGAAAGTTTCATGTTAATGAGAGCTGTACACGAGGTTAAATCGAAAATCATCGTACTTTTTAATTAAAATTACACATAATCGTTTAATAATGTGCTAAAATATTAAAGGAAGTAGTTCTTTAGGTTATCCATTACATACAGATAAGCAAATATTGCCACTTTATAATAATAACCTATATTGCGGTAACAATTGATTTTGCTCGCTCTATTTTTCTTACATTGCACTGATTTAAAATGTGATTTTAATTTTTCTGTTATTAAAGTTATGTAGACTTTCACATTTGTAATCACATATTTGTATGTAGGTTTGTAGGTTTCTACAGTTTTGTAAAATTGCTGCAAAAGCGAGTGCGAGCCGCGGTATTTAAATTTGTTGCACCGATGAAAATTAGTAATGGAGAATAGAAATGAACAAATCTTATTAGGTTCAGCACAATTTTGTATTTGCTTATAAATTGTTTTCTCTATGTTAAGGTAAGTTTATTTTTTACATCCAAATTAAGTCAAACTAATAGAATTTACTGGTTGAAGTTATAGAAGTTGTGCCGAAGCTGAGCTAGAGTTGAGGTCATAAATTATTTTCATTATATTTTACTGCCTTTATCAAAGTTCTTTTCAAACATATGCGAATCATACTAAAAATTACATGTTTGTATTTATTTTAGCAGCAACGTCATCTAAAATGCTATTTAAAAGTTTCATATGCATAACTTGCTGCATTTTCACTACACCTTGGACAGAAGCAGAAGTGTTTACAGCGACGACCGAACTAGAGCCTTTAATTGAAACTCTCGGAAAAGTAACGAATGATTTAGAAAATTACATAGAAAAGGAGAAAAAAAGATTGAACGTTTTGGAAAAGTATGTTTTGGCTTTGATAATAGGAATATAATCGCATTATACCTACATGCAGAAATACCTTTCACCTATAGGGAAGGGCAATAATCACAGATTTTCATTCTCGACGATCCTTTCACATACATGCATGACTACATAATCAAGGGATCATTTTTGCTCCGACCTTCATATATCTCCATCTATCGATATAATTATGTTCGCGTAGGTCCTTCTCAACAACATTTTCTATCCCCTTTCGTGCTCCAAAGTCCGTTTATCAAGCGTTTTTGTTTATCTTCGCCCCTGTTCGAACTATGAAACATGAAATTAACTATGAAACTGGATCCGCGCTACAAGCCCTTTACCCCGCAATTGCATGTCAACCATGCTTTCCATGCTTTCGTGTTTATGATTGATAAAAAAATCGCAACTCGGGTAGGAAACGAACTTGCCCATTCACGCAACAGTCTATAGTCTTGCACCAATGGGCAGGTCTATCCTGATAAGCAGCACGACCTCATAAGACCAGCGTGAAGTGGATGTATTAAAATTCTGCGTTAGGTCTAGTGAGTGAGGTAACCGGATCCCACTTTTTTAAAAAACGGCAACGTATCTGCAACCATACGGGTGTTGCAAATGTCCGTGGGGGGCGGTTATAACTTAACATCAGATGAACCGCCAGCTGTGACCTTCTCATATAAAAAAAATGTTTACCTCATATATAATGTAACTATAGATACTTTATCATTTCAGCCAGTTACGACTATACAAAAAAGAATATGTCTCATCTACGCAAGATGTTCCTAAGTATTTGGAAAATCCTATAAACGCTTTTAAAATCATTAAAAGGCTCACTACAGATTTAAAATTTACAGAACGGAGCATTCATATTGGCGCAGGTGGTTTGTTTTGTCATCATAAATATAAGCGTCCAATCTTACAATTACTTTTACAATGTTTACAATGTTCTTTCTTGATATTTGTGATAAATGTATTGATGATGGACGTAAACGAAAAGGGATTTACCCTTTTCGTCTACGTCTTTTTTGAATCTCCAATGTAGCCTTGCTTAATTTTTTTAATAACCTTAAGCAATAATTAGCATTATTTGCTAAAAATGGCAGTGAATGATAAATTATTAAACAATACGTTTAATCAAAAATTTAAAGTACACTCAACTATTGTATTTTTTTATAAGAAAACATCAAAAGCGTCGCCCTATATAGCGACGATTTAATGTATCCCACACTGGAGGATCTAAAAGGCTCTGTGGCAGCCCTAACTAGACTTAAAAATACGTATGAGCTCAAGATAAACGAACTAGCTGAGGGTATACTGGCTGGCGAAGCATGCAGGTGTTTTTTCATATTACTCAAAATACTTTATTTACACTATTTATTTATATTCATGCCAACATCAATCGTTTATAGTATTCCAATGACTAGCAGCGACTGCTTTGTACTTGGCAAAACCCTGTTTGAAAAGAGAAGGTTTAAAACTTCAAAACAATGGTTGATGGAGGCTCTGCGCAAATACGAAGCAGAAGGCGATGTCTATGACATTTCTTTTGTCGACATTCTCCAGTATATTAGAAATACATACTATAAATTAAGTGAGTCTTATTAAAATCTTAATTGAAATTTATATATACCTAATGACTAATAAAATGGCAGGATGCTAATTTTCATACAGATAAAGATAAAGCAGCATTGGAGTGGACTAAGAAAATATCAGAATTGAATACAAACAGCACAGAAACGCTTAAAGTAATAGGGAATTTTCACGGAGATGTCGACAAAAAGGAAAACACTGAAGCAAATAACCGCACTGTAAGTAATCGTAATCATAATTTTCGCTAACTGAATAAAACGGAGAAGCTTATATTTACATTCTTTCAAAAGTACAAATATGAGCATGTAGTTTATCACACTTTTAAATTAGGTTTAAATGTTATAAATATTTCGCGAAAAGGCGCAAAAGTACGTAATCAAAACTTAGCGTGGTGGCGAATCCAATTAAAACATTCAATAATTTGAAGAAATACAAGAAAATTTTCGGAAGTAAGTTTTAAATTGTATGTAGTTGTACATTCGTTGCGATAAACTTAAGCAACAGACTGAGAAATAATATGTTATTTACATACTTCTAAGATTTAAATAACGTTGTAAAGAACTGTTTTAGGATTTGAGTAAGGAGTTATGTAAGTTTATTGGTCCTAGCAAAGATTTAAGTAAATATCTATACAACTATAATACAACATACAACTTTTTTATCAGAAAATAGAGAAGGATGAGGATTTTTTCATGGCACAAGTATTAGCCCATGAGGTGAAAGTTTACGAAGCTTTATGCCGCGGTGATATAGAAATACCTCAAGAAATTAGCAAAAGGTATGTACGGCACAAAATAATAAATAAATTCTAAATGTATACCTTAATTTCATTAATAAGTTTAATATCTAATATTTGGACATGGTTATGTATGCTACTTTTGTGATCTTTACCTAAAAATGGAACCGTGCAGGTAAATGCTTAATTTACAAACTAAAAACAATGTGTTCAAATAAATGCATTATGTAACAATTAAAAAAAGTTTACTGACATACGTATATATGCGTAATATTATAATAAATAAGTTTCTAGTTATTAATAAAAAAATAAGTGTCTAGCACTATTAATATAAATATTTTATAGAAGTTTCAATGTATTTTCAAGATTAAAATGCACATTTCTGACGGGAACTCATCCATTTCTGAAATTGGCGCCAATAAAAATGGAACAGATGTACATAGGGCCTGACATCTACGTGTTCCATCAGGTTATAAGCGATGAGGAAATCGAGCATATTAAGAACATGGCGAAACCGAAGGTGAACACATAAATACATAACGGGCATTTTATTGGAATCTCTATGCATTTGTAAAAGAATTATTACTTATACGTGGAGAAAATATGGTTTGCTTTTGCATGATGGCCCGCCCTATCGAGGACGTACCACTGTCACAAAAGACCGCGTAAAACAGAATATTTGCAGTTTTACGTTTCGTCTACTGAGTGAGGTAATGTGGGTATCTAAGTACCCTTTTGAAACTTGGTAACGAAACATTCCGTATTCTTGTTGTCCATGCGGCAGTGGCTTATTTTTACTTCATTTAAGAAAAAGACAGGTGAGACTATGTCGAATGTTTGTAAATATTTGTGATAAAATAATCGTGTTTGTTGTTTTGTATTTAAATTTTGTTGAAATATGGACAAAAAGTTTATCACCACTGCAAGGATTTGAACCTGTGTCCTCCGGTATACGCATTCGAATCTCTAGCCGCTGCGCTAAACAGATTATCTGCACACAGATGAAAAACTCAACATATTTTATCTACTTTGTTTTTCCTACCTACATAAGAGGCAATGTTTGGCTTAATCTAGTGTTTCGCTAAACAGATTATCTTCACACAGATGAAAAACTCAACATATTTTATCTGCTTTGTTTTTTGGTACCTACATAAGAGGCAATGTTTGGCTTAATCTAGTGTTTACCTACTTCACAGCAAACAATCACTTTTTGATATACATATATGACATTTTACAATGAAATATTTTAAAACGAGAGAAATTTCGATAGCAAAGCTGACACCTTTCCCATTGAAATTTTCAAATTATATGATATTAATGTAAAACTAATATTGTGTTATGAGCGTGACGTGAAGAGCTGACTCATCTACTGCATAAGTTTTCGCGTCCTCGTAGTTCCAGCGCGCTATCATATTCGACCCCCAAGGGAGGTCGCGGCCCGCGCACTACCGCATCAGCAAGTCGGCCTGGCTGTCGGACAGGGAGTCGCCCGTGGTGGGGCGGCTCTCGAAGAGGATCTCCCACTTCACGGGCCTCGACATGGGCACAGCTGAGCTACTGCAGATCGGCAACTACGGCATCGGCGGCCACTACGAGCCACACTTCGACTTCGCTCTGGTCCTTAAATTTTTATAGTGCTAATCTCTGCGCTTAGATTAAACGTAAAAATTAGTAGAAAAAAGTACGAAAAGTTTGTTTCTTGTCTTTGGGATTCGCGCGCTGACAGGCGCCCAGCCATGCGTTCGATACACACAGCGGCGACAACCTATTCGTACTTTTTTCTACTGCTCGTAATTTTAATGTAATCTCTGGTCTGTTTTAACCTTGGTACGACCACGCAACAGTCTTTGCTGTTGTACGAATGGGCAGGTCCGTCAGGGTAAGTACAACGACCTCACAGAAGACCGGTGTGAAGTGGAAGTCTTATTATACTTCAGCCTTTCGTTCGGTGAGTGACGTAGCCGCGGTCCACTTAATTTGAAGGTGGGCGCATCTGCAACCCGACGGTATTTGTACATGGGCAAGGGTGGGGGCAATCACTTAACATCAGGTGAACCGCCAGCTCGTTTGCCACCTTCTCACACATAAAAAACATAACGCGCGCTCTGCGGCGAGTTTTTCAATAGTCTGTGACCGGTTCGTTCACGTAGTAGAATTCACGTAGCATTATGTAGATTTTTTTGCGTTCAACGCCTATGTACACCGTCATTTTCACATATATCAATAACACGATTACTATTAATCATATGTGGTGTGGTTGTACTTTGATTAAATAAATAAAAAAATATATATCACAGTCAGGTCCTCGAGTCTGAGAGACATATTCATACGACCTGCGCATACTTTGTAGGTTGTTAAGCGCGTGCGTAAAGATCACACATACACTATTCTATTCACATGTTTTATAAAAATTGGGAGGTAGAACATGTATTCTACTTATAGAAAGAATGTTAAAAAGCTGAATTAGTCTGCGTAGCATCACTACACTACAGTGATTGGAAGTATTATCATGTTTGCGCTACAAGATACAATAACAACAAAAGATAATTTACATTGTTATTACCAACTGTTTTAATATTACATACCATAAATATTGTTTAGTATCATTCTATTTTTTATGTTCTTTAATCATTAGTTTCTTTCACATTTTGCATTAGAGACCCTTCTACCCTGCGTAAGTTACTATTACGTTAAGACTCTCCTCGCTCCTTTTACAAACACTCATAGTTTCTCTATGTTTTCCTCAATCTCGACTTATCTTCATTTGAAATACCATCAGATATTGTATTAAATTCGCAACTTAAACTGCAGCCGATCAAAAGCTCACTGACGGTAAACTACCTAAAGATAAAACCATTTAATTATTTTACTTTTATTTCATTTCAGAGCCACGTAAAACCCGTGGGTCCGTTTAACGAAAACGTCGGGAACAGAATAGCTACGGTCTTGTTCTACGTGAGTGTCCCGGCGTGCGCATGTCGAGGGTAGATAAATGAAAATCGATATTCATATGCATATGCTCTTTATTCTTCAGATGTCTGAGGTGGCGCAAGGCGGTGCCACGGCGTTCACGGAGCTGGGCCTAAGCGTGTTCCCGGTGAAGAACTCTGCCCTGTTCTGGATGAACCTGCACCCTTCGGGGGAAGGGGACATCTCCACCCGCCACGCCGCTTGCCCCGTTCTGCGAGGGTCCAAATGGGGTTAGTCCGAACTTCATTCTCCTGTCCTTATTCATCTAGGTGAAGTCGGCACACTTAATTAAAAGGCGGCAACGCATCTGCAATCCTTCGGGTGATGCAAATGTCCATGGGCGGCGATTATCACTTAACATCAGGTGAACCGCCAGCTCGCTTGCCACCTTCTCACGTTAAAAAAGAATGTGAAGGGCCGTCTTATCTACAGCGAAAGTTTCCGCTACTTAGTAAATCGTGCTTTAAATGCTATTAGCCAAGCTTCGTTCGCAAGCCTCCCTCCTTGGGAATGAACCCCCAGAACCGTGACAATCATTGGTTAGTAGTTAGCCCTAACGATCATTGCGCCCTAGAAGATCTATTTTAGTTTTCTGACTGTAGGACAACATAATCCTGTGTTGTAAAGACGTGTTACATACAAAAATTTTACGTGGACAAGCACCCAGATCTGAAACAATTATCCGTGGGTCGCACACATACTTGTCACGTGTGGGAATCGAACCCATCACCCCTAGCACCGAAGCCAACAGCACGGCTACTGCCGAGCTATCTTAGTCTGAACCAACATAAACACTATAAACCAATATATACTATAACTACACTATAATATATATACAGGAAGTATAACCTTTTTAACCATCACCACGTTAAATAAGCGATTACGGTCGTACATGGATATCCTTAGAGAGTCTCGTTCATTCATTCAAAAACAAACGCTAGCTCCACCATAGCAGAAAATACTTTGTTTATGGAAGAGGCTCACGAGTCGTTGAAATACGGTTCCGATTAGACATTTGCAACGCCTGTGGAGTTGCTGATGTGTTCCCAACCTTATAAATACTGGCCCACTGGTTTCGTTACTCACCATACGTAACACAGAAGTACGATACTAATATAATATCGCACGCTGGTCTTCTGTGAAGTCGTGGTGCTTCGAAGGATGAACCCAACCATAATATGTGCTACGTGGTCCTACTACAGCAAACTATTTGCTGCGTCATGATCAAGCAAGAAGCTGAGCTGTTTGCCGCCTTGAAGCCACGATAAAATCTAAAACAGAAACTCCTTTTTACAATGCGTAATTTTCGTGTAATAGATGTGACTATGAAAGTTTTACTTTTAGTGTCGAACAAATGGATCCATCAAGTTGGTCAAGAGTTCCTCAAGCCGTGCAATCTTGAACACCAAAAAGAGGGGGTTATGGGAAAGGATCCTATACCCGTAAAAGCTAAAGCCAAAAGCGAAGACCATAATGAACTATTGTATAGTTGGTATCGTAGCGGTGGTATACAGAAACTGATTAATCGTAGGCAGGAACAACACTTAAATGAAGTCCAATCCTAATTATATAGTAAAGTGAGTAGGTCTTAGTCTGAGGAAACAAACTTCACATCTAACTTGAACTCCTTTGAAAATAAATAAAAAGGACAGCAAATCTAAATGAGCAAATGAAACTTAAAGCTGTATGGGTACAGGACTACTGATGACACATGCTTACTGTGTTGCCCTGTTACGAAAAACTGTTGTGATGTTTTTTTTGGTATTAGATACTACACTACAAGTTTATTATAGTATTAATGTAAGCAGAGTTGTTAGTTATGTTTAATATGAATAAAGAGCTGCTAATGTGTATATCGTTTGTTTAATTTCAATGATTGTTATAACGAAATTAAATTAATATTTATCCATTTGTGACGAGTGATGTTATGTTTCAATATTAGCTTAATCCTGTCGAGTTTCATTTACCGATTCAAAGTGCTGTTTGCAATTCTTTCTTCTTTCTTTTCTCCTCTTCTATTTTCGAACGATGAGTGTAGAGCAATTTAAGACAACAAAAATGTTACATATAGAATTAAACGTATACTGTACATAACATTCCTGTTGTTTATACATTACACCAAGTCTTCTTCGCGCTTCGTGTCCATCGGTCAAATTAATCTCTTGCTCACGATGTTGTATAGAATATTTCAGAACAAACAAAGTAAGTACATGCATGGTAGGGCTTAGCATTGCACACTACTGTGTTTGCTATGAAACACTCCGACTTCACAAGGACCTGCTGTTCTGTTCTCTTGTTCCGTTCTTGGACCTCCCGCGTTTAATAATTATGTTCAGCAGCTGTCGAACAGCCTGTAATCTAGATTTTATGGTTATTTTTTGTGATAGAACCACGCAACTCCTCGATTCACCGTGATTAGTTCAACTCCACCAAGGAAGTACCTGATAGACCAGCACATCGTGGAACTATTTGTGCTTCTATATTTCGACTGGTGGGTGAAATAATAACGAATACCCTTTTTGTTTATAATTGGTATCGAGCTAGTCTAGAAGCAATGATATCAATTGAGTTCAACTTTGAAAATTTAACTCTCCTATAGAAATACTAATATTCAATGGAGTTACGATTTTAAATTGTTTGTGGTCAATCATAAATGTTAATAGGTTATCGTGTTCAATACGTACATATGTACGGCATTATTATAAGGGCCCACAAGCTCTTGAATGAAAAAGTAAGCGAGTACACAATCGGTGCAGTATTCCAAGTTGCGATCCATTGTTGAGGAATAATGTTTTTTGTGTTAAGGTCACTGACGCGAAAGATGTCGCATTGATACTCGGATTGCTTCCCAGTATTTATCGTACCGAGAAACGCTTAACTGGCTCCTACAACTGTGAGTCGCCTGAAAATCAAAATAAATTAAGGGGTGCATTTATGAAATTGCTGTAAAAATTTAAAGTACTTAGTGAAAAACTACCATCGAAGATAGCAAATAAATATACGGTACGGACGGACAGAAATTTCACTATGGTCTACGATGATATTTTTTTTCATAAGACCGTCCTGTCGACAGATTATATTATGTGTAATATATCGTAGTATAATTTTATTACTGTGGTGAAAATTACTTAATTGACAAGATATCAAGTTAACAATGTAACAATTATTGTTATTAATACAAGCCATCAATTCTTCATCCTTACGGATTAGCCAAAGGTAATCAGTATTTCGTCAATTTTTATGAATACAAAACGTTAAAAACATGTAAGAAATTCTTAAAGCGGAAACTCGTTACTGCGAGCTTCCAGGATATGAAATAACGGCTTCAATTCTAGCTTCAAATGTAAGGCGCAACACTGACTTACTAATACTATTATATCAACAGTCGTTTAATTATTAATATTATCCATTTAAGGAAAACCCTTGCTATGAAGTTCACATGCGTATTCTTTAAACACAAGCGTTTAACTCTATGTTAAAAATATTTAAAAAAAAATTAAAAATATTTAAAATACACCGAAAACAAATATTAGAATGTGAAGGTGTATATAAAATAATAAAACCGTTTAAAAACTTTTAAGTTAAACGGTTTTATTTTCTGTTTCTTTTTTTTTTGTGCACTGAAAACTACAATATTGTATTGTCATCTAAATTAAATGTGTGTACCAAATTTCAGATCAATCTGACAGCGGGAAGGTGCTTAAATTTTAATTTCTAATTTTGACCCAAATAAACAAATAAATTCCGTACGTGTCGAGCTAAATAAAACCGTTTAATATATAACTGTACACCATTATCAGTAATGGTTACCGAGGGTTTCAATCGGCTTTGCGGGTAACAAGTTTTGGATTACTAAGTCAATCGACCGCAACTAATTATTAAATTTATTTAAAAAAAAACTACTCCTGTGTCACAGAAAGTTAATTACGTATTTACACATACTATATATATATATATATATTGATAACATTATTAATGACAGAGATAATATGTGAGATGATATGAGATAAACACGGTCATAGCGTGTGTCCAGTCAAAGAACAACTATTTGTGCCAATAATCACATATGGGAATCGAACCCACTACGCGGTAATCGCAAGTTGATAAGTTTATCAATTTTGAACCAATTAAACATAAATTTATTTGTATAACTATTAATATTAAACGATGATTCGATTGCTCATCATTCACATTCCTACAAAAGTTTTATATGATACTAAACGATAGCAATAAAAGATTTATTGTCAAAGTATTTGAAGTCTACTTTGTACTAGTTTTAAACATTATTTCAACGTTAAAGAAATTTAAAAGTCAATATTGTAATATAAATAAAAAATTATTAGAATTAAGAAAAAAATATTCAAAAAATGAGGATAAAATGCATTTCGGTTCTTCACAAAAACGTGGTTCGGACTAAACTGCTCACTGCAAAAGGCGTAACTGGTCAATAAATACCTATTAAAATACAATTATTCGTTGTCCTTATTCCATTATTATTCCCAAAGAATTAAGAAAACAGAGGAAAATAAGACTAAAACTTTGTCAATCCGCGATGTATGAAATATTTTTGATTTGATTTGATTTGAAAAAAAATTCAAAGTGCCATACTAGCGAGGCAATAACTTGTGCATTGCGCCAAATGTTGCGTTTGCTCTAATCGAACCCTGGACTCTAACCATAGCTAACTAATCTGAAACGTCGTTGGACTGTATACGACCTCGAACTGTACAACAATAGGGATCTCACCCGAATCATATTACAAAACTTACAGACGTTACGTGAGAAATCAAAATGCTCTATATCCTTACTATTTAGTTGGATTTCGTCAAATATTTCCAACTTTTACCTGACTTCGCTTTCCATGATGATAATTATAAAATCGTTGATCAACGTAACACGTTATAACGTACCGTTAATTGATCTCTTTTTTAATTGACTTAATGCGACACTCGAAACCGTGGGTCTGCCACTCAAATCACTTTCGCGTATGCCAAGTGCTGGTAAGTGACTGCTGGCTGGCAGCCGAGACCACGACAGCTAACGACGAAACCGGAGCTCTGGACTGTAAACATCCACTGATTGGAATCCTCCTTCACGTCGCGCGGCGTAACGTCGTATCTGCCCACTTACGACATGAACTGTACGCAATCAGATTTAACGAAGGATTTTAGACGTTAAAAAGAATTGCTTAGTTGAGTACTCTTAGCGCCATCTTTCTATACAGTACTTTTAAAAATTAGGGTATAAAGACAACACTATTCCATAGCAGTTTCTTTTCATTTATAATTAAAAATAAAAAGTTTTATTTAACAATAAAATGCAATAACTTCCAAATTGGAATTAAAAAGTTTAAAATATAACAAAATCAAATTTTGAAACCTAACCTATATATTCTAACCTACCTAAACTCTAATAATTTATCATTTTTTGGAGTTCGATTTGATAACCTCTTCCTTTTTGAAGTCGGTTAAAAATATTTCCTGGAGCGATTTTGTTAATTGATTATATAAATAATTTATTTTTTAATTAGCGGATCAGATAAGATAGATCAGTTTTTTCTTGATACAATTTGAATCTAATCATGGTTATCAAATGTGCCAAACACATCCTTACACTTATATACATTTTTCTAAAATGAATTTGAAATGTGGATAGGTGATAGGAAGATAAAACTTTACAATCGTAAAATTTGTTAACAGCAATGAGTTCTTATTTGAGACAAATACACAGCGTCTTAGCAATTTAATTGGGCCTAAATCACTCTCATCTATCTAATGACGTCTATAAAATCGCTTTTACAATTTCTGAGAAACAATCTAAATAAGTAAGGAATAAAATATTATAAACAGTACGCTGCGAAATATCTTTTAGAGTCAGTAATTACTAAAAAGACGTTTTATCGTATGTAATGTAAAATTTAACATCTGGTCATTTAGTTAATTTGCTTATCGTATTATTAGTATTAGTTTTAGACACCGAAATTCTAATACGGAATATAAGAAATACCGATAGAAATTTAAAATTTTTCATAGTGCTAATCTCTGTACTTAAGATTAAACTTCTAATTTTTTTTTATTTTTTCAAGTTTGAAATATAAGCTAGATTATTATGTGATAAAACAAACGATATCGAGACTGACAAGATTGACCTCTGGCTGGAGCTATAAACCGTTCGGGTTAGAAATGTACATTACAAAAGATTTCTGAAAATATATGATCTAAGTGTAAATCATAACGAAAGATGTTTTACCCCTTGATATATTAAATTGCAAAGTATTTAATTTCAGGATTTTCAGAGAATTTTACATTACACGTTGAAAGAACAATGCCCACTTCCCATACATTTAAAAACCTGATAATGAAAGTGTATGTATAGTTACAAGGTATAGCAGAAAGACTACCTTTAAGTTAGTAAATTAATATCATATAGTCATTTTACGATTGCTGGTCTACGAAGTCCAAAAATTATTAAAAAATGTTACTTTTTAGGTTAGGATTTGCAGTTACCTAATAAAACGAAATAAATGTGCTAGAACTAACTATTTACGCTCAAGTTTATTCTA